GGTTGCTGTGAGCTGTGATGCCATGGCACTCTACCCAGGGGGATAGCTTGAGGCTCCATCTCAAAAAAAAAAAAAAAAAAAAAAAAAAAAAGAACTCTGGCAGCATGAATAACCAGAGTAGCTCAGCACCCCCCCCTCCAGGAAATGACAAAAGGAGCTACAACTGAAGATGCCATGCATAGACAAATGGCAGCAATGTCAGAAATAGAATTCAGAATATGGATTGCAAACAAGATAAATAGAATGGAAGAAAAGATAGAAATTGAATTCCAAAAAGTAATTCTAAATTTGTCTCAATAAATTAATGAATTCAAAGCCCAAGTCACTAAAGATATGGACGTAATGAGAAAAGAGATAGCAGAGCTCAAGGAAATGAAAAAGTTAGTTGAGGAGTTCCAAAATACAGTAATAGAGTTGACCAGGCAAAAGAAAGGATCTCTGAAACTGAAGACAAAGCTTTTGAATATTCCCACACTCAAAGAGACAGACAAATGGAGAGCAAAAACTGATCATTCCCTGAGAAAGTTGTGGGATCACTCCAAAAAACCAAACATTTGTCTTATAGGAATTCCCAAAGGAGAAGAGGATGATCCTAAAGGTACAGATACTCTACGCCAAGAGATTTTGGAGGAGAATTTCCCAAGCCTTGCAAGAGATACAGAACTTTAGATATCAGACAGTTTCAGAACTTCAGCAAGACTCAATCCAAATAAAGCATCTCCTAGACACATTGTGATTAACTTTGCCAAGGTTAAGATGAAGGAGAAGATTCTGCAAGTAGCCAGATGTAAGAAAAGCATCACCTACAAAGGGAGAAGTATCAGAACGAGTGCAGATCTCTCAGCTGAAACATTTCAAGCCAGAAAAAGATGGTCATTAACCTTCAATCTCCTAAAACAAAACAACTTCCAGCCCACGATCCTGTATCCAGCTAAACTGAGTTTCATCTGTGATGGAGAAATCAAATTCTTTAATGACATAGACATGTTGAAGAAATTTGCCATAACTAAACTAGCTCTCCAGGATATTCTCAGACCCATCCTCCACAATGACCAGCACAATGCTCTACCTCCAAAGTAAATTCACCTGGAAATTTTTGAACAAAACCCAACTTCCACAGTGGTGAAAGGATTAAAAAATGTCCACTGCACATCCAAAAATCATGACACCCAAAACACAACCAGGTTTATCAATGCTCTCAATTAATGTGAATGGTTTAAATTGTCCTCTAAAGAGGCACAGGCTGTCTGACTGAATACATAAACTCAGACCAGATATATGCTGTATACAAGAATCTCACCTTATGTTAAAGGATAAAAATAGACTCAAGGTGAAGGAATAGAGTTGTATAATACAGGCAAATGGAAACCAGAAAAAAGTGGGGGTTGCAATTTTAGTAGCAGATACAATTGGCTTTAAACCAACAAAGATAAAGATAAGGAAGGTCACTACATATTTGTCAAGGGCAACACCCAACATGAAGAGATTTTGATAATTAACATTTATGCACCCTACCAGAATGCTCCTCAATTCATAAAGCAGACCCTA